AACTGGCATTCCTCAGGACGATAGTCTCTAAAATCATAGACAATTTCTTGCGTGATAAATCAGTATTGTACACGAGACGAAACTCTCCAGCTGTCATCTTCATCCGAGCACCATACGGGACACACTCCAGAACCTGAAAACAACAACAACAAATAAAATCAAATCCATTTGCATTCCCAATATAACTCTAACGCCCTCAATATCGAATTCAGTTGACCAATTAAACTCCACTTCCTCTATCACGAACGATGCTCACATCACGACCTACAGTATTCTCCCACACCCCACTCACTTGGAGAGCTGAAACTTCTTCTTCACAGCCCTGAGTTGCGTCCCCGAATGGTCCTCATTGGTAGCTACTTGCAATAATGCACATAGTTCCTTCGCCACCACCTTCACGTTGTGCTCAGTGTTAGGACAATGCACGGCCACATGTGGTGGCCACGCTGTCGGCTTCCTCAACAACTTGTTGGATAAATACAAGGCGCCTGCCGCTAACTGACTTGCGGAATACCTCAACATATTATACCTGATCAAAATACAAATAATTAATAATGTCGAAATTATATAATATCATATTAAAATCAGATAGATACAAAAATTATATAAATGTTTCCCGGTTAAATAGATATATATTATAAAATTAATGGAGTTTCACCCGTGATATGGAGAAAAACTAATCAAAACATGTTTCACAAGCCACTGCATACCACCAATATCGGGGTTTTCACCGAGTATTACGCCACTTCACGTGAAACGGGTGAAACTCCAGTACATACAGTACAGTAAAACGTACACTAATGTAGCCATACAATATAAAAAAGAGACAAACCCACTTACTCTGGCAATGCAAGCTCCAGACAATACTGGGATAAGAAGAAGTGCTTCTCATCGGCTTCCATGACCTTAGCATACCGCAACAGAAAGAACATCGGCGACGGGGTAGTCATACAGAACCTGAAGCAAACACCAATACAACACTAAGAGAGGGAAGAGACACTTACCCAAGCGTGTTGAGAATGTCAACTTCCATCTCCATCACTTCATGACGT